ATACAGAACACACACATTTCTGTCCATACAGAACACACACATCTCTGTCCATACAGAACACACACATCTCTGTTCATACAGAACACACACATCTCTGTTCATACAGGACACACACATCTCTGTCATCATCTCTGTCCATACAGGACACACACATCTCTGTTCATACAGAACACACACATCTCTGTTCATACAGAACACACACATCTCTGTTCATACAGAACACACACATCTCTGTTCATACAGAACACACACATCTCTGTTCATACAGAACACACACATCTCTGTTCAACAGAACATACATCAACGAACACACATCTCTGTTCATACAGAACACACACATCTCTGTTCATACAGAACACACACATCTCTGTCCATACAGAACACACACATCTCTGTTCATACAGAACACACACATCTCTGTCCATACAGAACACACACATCTCTGTCCATACAGAACACACACATCTCTGTCCACACAGAATACACACATCTCTGTCCACACAGCACACACATCTCTGTCCACACAGCACACACATCTCTGTCCGCACAGCACACACATCTCTGTCCACACAGCACACACATCTCTGTCACAGCACAGCACACACATCTCTGTCCACACAGCACACACATCTCTGTCCACACAGCACACACATCTCTGTCCACACAGCACACACATCTCTGTCCACACAGCCACACAGCACACACATCTCTGTCCACACAGCACACACACAGCACAACATCTCTGTCCACACAGCACACACATCTCTGTCCACACAGCACACACATCTCTGTCCACACAGCACACACATCTCTGTCCACACAGCACACACATCTCTGTCCACACAGCACACACATCTCTGTCCACACAGCACACACATCTCTGTCCACACAGCACACACATCTCTGTCCACACAGCACACACATCTCTGTCCACACACATCTCTGTCCACACAGCACACACATCTCTGTCCACACAGCACACACACATCTCTGTCCACACAGCACACACACATCTCTGTCCACACAGCACACACACATCTCTGTCCACACAGCACACACATCTCTGTCCACACAGCACACACATCTCTGTCTGTCCACACAGCACACACAACACATCTCTGTCCACACAGCACACACACATCTCTGTCCACACAGCACACACACATCTCTGTCCACACAGCACACACATCTCTGTCCACACAGCACACACATCTCTGTCCACACAGCACACACACATCTCTGTCCACACAGCACACACATCTCTGTCCACACAGCACACACACATCTCTGTCCACACAGCACACACATCTCTGTCCACACAGCACACACACATCTCTGTCCACACAGCACACACACATCTCTGTCCACACACATCTTTTGTCCATACACACACATCTCTGTCCATACAGAACACACACACACACATCTCTGTCCATACAGAACACACACATCTCTGTCCATACAGAACACACACATCTGTCTACAGCACACACACATTTGCTGGTTCATACAGCACACACATCTCTGTCCACACAGCACACACATCTCTGTCCATACAGACACACACACACACACTCTGCATACAGAACACACACATCTCTGTCCATACAGAACACACACATCTCTGTCCACACAACACACACATCTCTGTCCACACATCCTCTTTCATACAGCACACATCTCTGTGTCCATACAGAACACCACACATCTCTGTCCAGAACACACAGCACACACATCTCTGTCCACTGTCCCATACAGAACACCACACATCTCTGTTCATACAGAACACACACATCTCTGTCCACACAGAACACACACATCTCTGTCCACACAGACACACACATCTCTGTCCACACAGCACACACACATCTCTGTCCATACAGAAGCACACACATCTCTGTCCATACAGAACACACACATCTCTGTCATACAGAACCCACACAGCAGAACACACACATCTGTCCACACAGAACACACACATCTCTGTCCATACACACACACACATCTCCTGTCCACACACATTGCTGTCCATACAGAACACACATCTCTGTCCACACAGAACACACACATCTCTGTCCTGTCCACACAGCACACACATCTCTGTCCACACAGCACACACACGTCACACAGAACACACACTCTGTCCACACAGCACACACACATCTCTGTCCACACAGACACACACACATCTCTGTCCACACAGCACACACACATCTCTGTCCACACAGCACACACAACAGCACACACTCTCTGTCCACACATAACACACACATCTCTGTTCACACAGCACACACATCTCTGTCCACACAGACACACACACATCTCTGTCCATACACACACACATCTCTGTCCACACAGCACACACCATCTCTGTTCACACAGAAACACATCACATCTCTGTTCCACACAGACAGCACACACATCTCTGTCCACAAGCACACACATCTCTGTCCACAAGACAAACACTCCACACATCTCTGTCCAACACAGCACACACATCTCTGTCCACACAACACACACATCTCTGTCCACACAACACACACACACATCTCTGTCCACACAACACACACATCTCTGTCCACACAGCCACACACATCTCTGTCACACACACACACATCTCTGTCCACACAGCACACACATCTCTGTCCACACAGCACACACATCTCTGTCCACACAGCACACACACATCTCTGTCCACACAGCACACACATCTCTGTCCACACAGCACACACATCTCTGTCCACACAGCACACACATCTCTGTCCACACAGCACACACATCTCTGTCCACACAGCACACACACATCTCTGTCCACACAGCACACACATCTCTGTCCACACAGCACACACATCTCTGTCACACAGCACACACATCTCTGTCCACACACACAAACACATCTCTGTCCACACAGCACACACACATCTCTGTCCACACAGCACACACATCTCTGTCCACACAGCACACAGCACACACATCTCTGTCCACACAGCACACACACATCTCTGTCCACACAGCACACACATCTCTGTCCACACAGCACACATCTCTGTCCACACAGCACACACATCTCTGTCCACACAGCACACATCTCTGTCCACACACACATCTCTGTCCACACAGCACACACACATCTCTGTCCACACAGCACACACATCTCTGTCCACACAGCACACACACATCTCTGTCCACACAGCACACACACATCTCTCTCCACACAGCACACACATCTCTGTCCACACAGCAACACCACACATCTCTGTCCACACAGCACACACACATCTCTGTCCACACAGCACACACATCTCTGTCCACACAGCACACACACATCTCTGTCCACACAGCACACACATCTCTGTTTCCACACAGCACACACACATCTCTGTCCACACAGCACACACATCTCTGTCCACACAGCACACACATCTCTGTCCACACAGCACACACATCTCTGTCCACACAGCACCCACACAACACTGTCCACACAGCACACACACATCTCTGTCCACACAGCACACACACATCTCTGTCCACACAGCACACACATCTCTGTCCACACAGCACACATCTCTGTCCACACACACATCTCTGTCCACACAGCACACACATCTCTGTCCACACAGCACACACACATCTCTGTCCACACAGCACACACACATCTCTGTACACACAGCCACACAGCACACACACATCTCTGTCCACACAGCACACACACACAGTCACACAGCACACACACATCTCTGTCCACACAGCACACACATCTCTGTCCACACAGCACCACACACGCCACACACACATCTCTGTCCACACAGCACACACATCTCTGTCCACACAGCACACACACATCTCTGTCCACACATTCTGTCCACCACAGCACACAATCTCTGTCCTTGTCCACACACACCACACATCTCTGTCCACAGCACACACACACTTGTTGGGAAACTGGGGGCAATAACCCCACCATCAAATGCTGAAACCGTGACCCTTACTGATGACCTCTGATGTTGTAATAAATTATTTGTTTACAAAACCCAGTTGTTTGGTTCATCTTTCAGCCTCACATGATCCCGGAGAATGTGAAACCTCTGATGTTGTAATAAATTATTTGTTTACAAAACCCAGTTGTTTGGTTCATCTTTCAGCCTCACATCATCCCGGAGAATGTGAAACCTCTGATGTTGTAATAAATTATTTTGTTTACAAAACCCAGTTGTTTTGGTTCATCTTTCAGCCTTACTTGATCCCGAGTGGGGAATGTGAAACCTCTGATGTTGTAATAAATTATTTGTTTAAAAACCCAGTTGTTTGGTTCATCTTTCAGAATCACATGATCCCGGGAGTATTGTGAAACCTCTGATGTTGTAATAAATTATTTGTTTACAAAACCCAGTTTTTGGTTCATCTTTCAGCTCACGATGATCCCTGAGTATGTGAAACCTCTGATGTTGTAATAAATTATTTGTTTACAAAACCCAGTTTGGTTCATCTTTCAGCCTCACATGATCCCGGAGTATGTGAAACCTCTAATGTTGTAAGAAATTATTTGTTTACAAAACCCAGTTTGGTTCATCTTTCAGCCTAACATGATCCCTGAGTATGTGAAACCTCTGATGTTGTAATAAATTATTTGTTTACAAAACCCAGTTTGGTTCATCTTTCAGCCTCACATGATCCCTGAGTATATGAAACCTCTTATGTTGTAATAAATTATTTGTTTACAAAATCCAGTTTGGTTCATCTTTCAGCCTCACATGATCCCGGAGTATGTGAAACCTCTAATGTTGTAATAAATTATTTGTTTACAAAACCCAGTTTGGTCAATCTTTCAGCCTCACATGATCCCGGAGAATGTGAAACCTCTGATGTTGTAATAAATTTATTGTTTACAAAACCCAGTTGTTTGGTTCATCTTTCAGCCTCACATGATCCCGGAGTATGTGAAACCTCTGATGTTGTAATAAATTATTTGTTTACAAAACCCAGTTTGGTTCATCTTTCAGCCTCACATGATCCCGGAGTATGTGAAACCTCTGATGGTATTTGTCAATGTCAAGAGTGGAGGATGTCAGGGACTGAATCTGATCACTTCCTTCAGGAAACTCCTCAACCCACATCAGGTCTTCAACCTGGAGAATGGTGGGCCACTTCCAGGGTGAGTCTTCGGTAGTCTGGTGTCCATGAGAATGGTGGGCCACTTCCAGGGTGAGTCTTCGGTAGTCTGGTATCCATGAAAACCTGGTTGTGACCACAACACAAACATCATGTCAGTGTCAAGTCAACAGGCACTTTCCAAAAGTTTCCACCAACCCATCTCTATTGATTGTTCTGTATCTACAAAAACTGCTGCCTTTCCTCTCCCTTCTCATCCTGCTACTCTGCTTTCGTCTTTATTGTTTCTTTCTAGCAATGTCATTGGCTATGCTGGTCCAATTAGAAGCAAGCTTTGCTGTTTGCTCCTTTCTGCTAACACAGTATGCTTATTCTTGACAGTCTATAAATATTCTGTTTTGCCCACCACCCCCCCCCCCCTTTTTGTGTGTGTCTGTGCCCTTAATGTTATATGTGTTCCAGCTAGTGGAGTAGTCTGTCAAGTGACACTTAGGCAGTTGCATCTGCCTTCAGATGTGTACTTATTTCTGTCATCTGCCTTCAGATGTGTACTTATTTATGTCATCTACCTTCAGATGTGTACTTATTTCTGTCATCTGCCTTCAGCTGTGTACTTATTTCTGTCATCTGCCTTCAGCTGTGTACTTATTTCTGTCATCTGCCTTCAGCTGTGTACTTATTTCTGTCATCTGCCTTCAGCTGTGAACATATTTCTGTCATCTGCCTTCAGCTGTGTACTTATTTCTGTCATCTGCCTTCAGCTGTGTACTTATTTCTGTCATCTGCCTTCAGCTGTGTACTTATTTCTGTCATCTGCCTTCAGCTGTGTACTTATTTCTGTCATCTGCCTTCAGCTGTGTACTTATTTCTGTCATCTGCCTTCAGCTGTGTACTTATTTCTGTCATCTGCCTTCAGCTGTGTACTTATTTCTGTCATCTGCCTTCAGCTGTGTACTTATTTCTGTCATCTGCCTTCAGCTGTGTACTTATTTCTGTCATCAGCCTTCAGCTGTGTACTTATTTCTGTCATCTGTCTACAGCTGTGTACTTGTTTCTGTCATCTGTCTACAGCTGTGTACTTATTTCTGTCATCTGCCTTCAGCTGTGTACTTATTTCTGTCATCAGCCTTCAGCTGTGTACTTATTTCTGTCATCTGTCTACAGCTGTGTACTTGTTTCTGTCATCTGTCTACAGCTGTGTACTTATTTCTGTCATCTGTCTTCAGCTGTGTACTTGTTTCTGTCATCTGCCTTCAGCTTTGTGCTTGTTTCTGTCATCTGTCTACAGCTGTGTACTTATTTCTGTCATCTGCCTTCAGCTGTGTACTTATTTCTGTCATCTACCTTCAGCTGTGTACTTATTTCTGTCATCTGTCTACAGCTGTGTACTTATTTCTGTCATCTGTCTACAGCTGTGTACTTATTTCTGTCATCTGTCTCCAGCTGTGAACTTGTTTCTGTCATCTGCCTTCAGCTTTGTGCTTGTTTCTGTCATCTGTCTACAGCTGTGTACTTATTTCTGTCATCTGCCTTCAGCTGTGTACTTATTTCTGTCATCTACCTTCAGCTGTGTACTTATTTCTGTCATCTGTCTACAGCTGTGTACTTATTTCTGTCATCTGTCTTCAGCTGTGTACTTGTTTCTGTCATCTGCCTTCAGCTTTGTGCTTGTTTCTGTCATCTGTCTACAGCTGTGTACCTGTTTCTGTCATCTGTCTACAGCTGTGTACTTATTTCTGTCATCTGTCTTCAGCTGTGTACTTGTTTCTGTCATCTGCCTTCAGCTTTGTGCTTGTTTCTGTCATCTGTCTACAGCTGTGTGCTTGTTTCTGTCATCTGTCTACAGCTGTGTACTTGTTTATGTCATCTGTCTACAGCTGTGTACTTATTTCTGTCATCTGCCTTCAGCTGTGTACTTATTTCTGTCATCTACCTTCAGCTGTGTACTTATTTCTGTCATCTGTCTACAGCTGTGTACTTATTTCTGTCATCTGTCTACAGCTGTGTACTTGTTTCTGTCATCTGTCTACAGCTGTGTACTTGTTTCTGTCATCTGTCTACAGCTGTGTACTTATTTCTGTCATCTGTCTACAGCTGTGTACTTGTTTCTTTCTTGCCTCTTCTTATTTAGATAAGATCATGTATCATTGTCACACATGGTTACCTGAGTCTTGTGTCTGTCACACAAGGTTACCTGTGTCTTGTGTCTGTGTGTGTATTAAAGCGTTGCTTGCTAGTCATACCTTTTTCTTGTAGAGAATCCTGCAGTCTTTTGCAGTCCTTCTACTTCTTTGTTTGGTCCTATAGTCACACTAGCCATTCTGGGGGAGTGGTTGGGGGGGGGGGGGAATCACACTCAACCACAGTGGACACAGGGACACCTGGAACCTCTATTCTGAAGTGACCGCTCACTTACTGGCCATCTCTAGAGGACTTTTACCTCTGAGTGCTGGAGAGAACTCAGCTGTTTGATGTGGTCCCTCCTTGCCTGTAGCATCACTTCTGTGCAAGATTAGAGAACATTTCAAGGTGCTGTAACTGGGTGAGGTTTACACGGCTAGAGAGACAGGCCAGAAGAATAATAGTTAAAAGGTGAATGAGAAGATGAAAGGTTCTCCTGTGTGGGGATTTTAGTAATAAGTCTATGCCCCGCATGATCAGGCTATAGTCAGTGGAGATGTAAAAGAGAGTTATGTAGTGTTAGTAAAGTAAAGCAGTATTAAGACTACAACCAACAGTGATACAACACTTATGCTCAGCAAACTAATGATGGAAGAAAAGAATAAACGATCATGTTTATAAAGGAAAGGAGACAGAGTGTGCTAGAGATCCATTGCAGCCAACCTTCACTGTGGAGATGGCACCTGATTGATGATGAGCTAGAGACAGACCAGTCAACAATGGAACACAGCACCTGATTGATGATGAGCTAGAGACAGACCAGACAACAATGGGACACAGCACCTGATTGATGATGAGCTAGAGACAGACCAGACAACAATGGGACACAGGCCCTGATTGATGATGAGCTAGAGACAGACCAGACAACAATGGGACACAGCACCTGATTGATGATGAGCTAGAGACAGACCAGACAACAATGGGACACAGCACCTGATTGATGATGAGCTAGAGACAGACCAGACAACAATGGGACACAGCAGCTGATTGCTGATGATGAGCTAGAGACAGACCAGACAACAATGGGACACAGCACCTGATTGATGATGAGCTAGAGACAGACCAGACAACAATGGGACACAGCACCTGATTAATGATGAGCTAGAGACAGACCAGACAACAATGGGACGGCAATAGTCAAGGTTGTCTAAACAAGCACTGGTAACCAAGGTAACCTGTCTGGTCATGAAATGGAAGCTGTGGCTCCTCACAGCCCTGCGTCTAATGGTGGGTGTGGATGAAGGCAGAATAGATCCTCTTTCTGTCTGTAGACAATAGATAGCCTCTAAATGTCTGTAGACAATAGATAGCCTCTAGCTGTCTGTAGACAATAGATAGCCTCTAAATGTCTGTAGACAATAGATATCCTCTAAATGTCTGTAGACAATAGATATCCTCTAAATGTCTGTAGACAATAGATAGCCTCTAAATGTCTGTAGACAATAGATATCCTCTAAATGTCTGTAGACAATAGATAGCCTCTAAATGTCTGTAGACAATAGATAGCCTCTAAATGTCTGTAGACAATAGATAACCTCTAAATGTCTGTAGACAATAGATAGCCTCTAAATGTCTGTAGACAATAGATAGCCTCTAAATGTCTGTAGACAATAGATATCCTCTGTCTGTAGACAATAGATAACCTCTAAATGTCTGTAGACAATAGATAGCCTCTAAATGTCTGTAGACAATAGATAGCCTCTAAATGTCTGTAGACAATAGATAACTTCTAAATGTAGACCAAAAAATACATTGCTCAATTGATTGCCAGACATATTTCGCCGTAGCAGAGTTAAATCATTGTGTAATGAAGTACACACACAAACACACACACACACAAACACACAAAACTGAATAAATTCCACTGAAATACAATTGGCTCTAGATATGTCATCCTTGTCATTATTGCAGTGTATTGTTGGTGTATTAGATGGACATGAAAGATTCCTTGCTGGCATGAGAATATTTGTATAAAGTAGGTCTTTGAAGCACACAATGCAGCTAGAAGATGTGTACAGAACAATGCTTTGTTGGACTTGCAGGTTGTACGTGTTCCGCAACATCCCCTACTACAAGATCTTGGTGTGTGGAGGAGATGGAACTGTGGGCTGGGTTCTCTCCTGTCTAGATAATGTGGGCCAGGATGCTGAGTGTCAGTCACCTCCAATGGCAATAGTGCCCCTTGGAACAGGTAGGAAGTTTGATCAGTCAGTCTGTCTGTTTGCTGGCTGTTTGTGTTGGAAGTTTAATCAGTCAGTCTGTCTGTCTGCTGGCTGTTTGTGTAGGATGTTTGATCAGTCTGTCTGTCTGTCTGCTGGCTGTTTGTGTAGGATGCTTGATCAGTCAGTCTGTCTGCTGGCTGTTTGTATAGGATGTTTGATCAGTCAGTCTGTCTGCTGGCTGTTTGTGTATGTTGTTTGATCAGTCAGTCAGTCTGTCTGCTGGCTGTTTGTGTAGGTTGTTTGATCAGTCAGTCTGTCTGCTGGCTGTTTGTGTTGGATGTTTGATCAATCAGTCTGTCTATCTGCTGGCTGTTTGGGTAGGATGTTTGATCAGTCAGTCTATCTGCTGGCTATTTGTGTAGGATGTTTGATCAGTCAGTCTGTCTGCTGGCTGTTTGTGTAGGATATTTGATCAGTCAGTCTGTCTGCTGGCTGTTTGTGTAGGTTGTTTGATCAGTCAGTCTGTCTGCTGGCTGTTTGTGTAGGTTGTTTGATCAGTCTGTCTGTCTGCTGGCTGTTTGTGTAGGTTGTTTGATCAGTCTGTCTGTCTGCTGGCTGTTTGTGTAGGTTGTTTGATCAGTCAGTCTGTCTGTCTGTCTGCTGGCTGTTTGTGTTGGAGGTTTGATCAGTCAGTCTGTTTGTCTGCTGGCTGTTTGTGTAGGTTGTTTGATCAGTCAGTCTGTCTGTCTGCTGGTTGTTTGGGTAGGATGTTTGATCAGTCAGTCTGTCTGCTGGCTGTTTGTGTAGGATGTTTGATCAGTCAGTCAGTCTGTCTGCTGGCTGTTTGTGTTGGATGTTTGATCAGTCTGTCTGTCTGTCTGCTGGCTGTTTGGGTTGGATGTTTGATCAGTCTGTCTGTCTGCTGGCTGTTTGTGTTGGAGGTTTGATCAGTCAGTCTGTTTGTCTGCTGGCTGTTTGTGTAGGTTGTTTGATCAGTTAGTCTGTCTGCTGGCTTTTTGTGTAGGTTGTTTGATCAGTCAGTCTGTCTGCTGGCTGTTTGTGTAGGTTGTTTGATCAGTCAGTCTGTCTGTCTGCTGGCTGTTTGTGTAGGTTGTTTGATCAGTCAGTCTGTCTGTCTGCTGGCTGTTTGTGTAGGTTGTTTGATCAGTCAGTCTGTCTGTCTGCTGGCTGTTTGTGTAGGTTGTTTGATCAGTCAGTCTGTCTGCTGGCTGTTTGTGTAGGTTGTTTGATCAGTCAGTCTGTCTGCTGGCTGTTTGTTTAGGTTGTTTGATCAGTCAGTCTGTCTGCTGGCTGTTTGTTTAGGTTGTTTGATCAGTCAGTCTGTCTGCTGGCTGTTTGTGTTGGTTGTTTGATCAGTCAGTCTGTCTGCTGGCTGTTTGTGTAGGATGTTTGATCAGTCAGTCTGTCTGTCTGCTGGCTGTTTGTGTAGGATGTTTGATCAGTCAGTCTGTCTGTCTGCTGGCTGTTTGTGTAGGATGTTTGATCAGTCAGTCTGCCTGCTGGCTGTTTGTGTAGGATGTTTGATCAGTCAGTCTGTCTGTCTGCTGGCTGTTTGTGTAGGTTGTTTGATCAGTCAGTCTGTCTGCTGGCTGTTTGTGTAGGTTGTTTGATCAGTCAGTCTGTCTGCTGGCTGTTTGTTTAGGTTGTTTGATCAGTCAGTCTGTCTGCTGGCTGTTTGTGTAGGTTGTTTGATCAGTCAGTCTGCCTGCTGGCTGTTTGTGTTGGAGGTTTGATCAGTCAGTCTGTCTGCTGGCTGTTTGTGTAGGTTGTTTGATCAGTTAGTCTGTCTGCTGGCTGTTTGTGTTGGAGGTTTGATCAGTCAGTCTGTCTGCTGGCTGTTTGTGTAGGTCGTTTGATCAGTCAGTCTGTCTGCTGGCTGTTTGTGTTGGAGGTTTGATCAGTCAGTCTGTCTGCTGGCTGTTTGTGTAGGTTGTTTGATCAGTCAGTCTGTCTGCTGGCTGTTTGTGTAGGTTGTTTGATCAGTCAGTCTGTCTGCTGGCTGTTTGTTTAGGTTGTTTGATCAGTCAGTCTGCCTGCTGGCTGTTTGTGTATGATGTTTGATCAGTCAGTCTGTCTGCTGGCTGTTTGTGAATATCACCACCAATCTCTGTCACTTCGACTGTGCCAGCCCTGTGACCAGGATTGTGTTGAGATTCAGTCTGTGACCAGGATTGTGCTGAGATTCAGTCTGTGACCAGGATTGTGCTGAGATTCAGTCTGTGACCAGGATTGTGCTGAGATTCAGTCTGTGACCAGGATTATGTTGAGATCCATTCTAGGAACAGGTTTTGCCTATATTGTATATACTCTGTGATGGGGTGACAGCAGCTGCAGCAAACCTGTTGGCATCATACCTCTAGTATTCTAGGAGCCACATGGTTGAGGATGTGCTATACATTCTGCCTCTTGCTAATTGATTGTGAATGTTCTGTACATTCTGATGTTGTGTGTTCTTGTATCCAGGCAACGATTTGGCCAGAGTTCTACGATGGGGACCTGGCTATACGGGAGGAGAAGACCCACTCAACATTCTCCGGGATGTGATTGATGCAGATGAGATTAAACTTGACAGGCACGTATGGTTTGGATGGCTCATATGATTGTGACAAACACATGCTCTAACAAGCCTTTCCTCATTACTGTAGACACTGTCCTGTGACATGTGACAAATGTTCTGTTACTTCACACTGTCCTGTGACGTGTGGCTACTGTCCTACCTGACTTCACCTTCACACAGTCCTGGGACAGGTGACAACTGTACCTGACTAAACTTTCACACTATTTTACAAGACTGTCATCATCAAGTGCTATCTGAATGAGTCTAGATATAAGACCACTGTTATGCCAAATCCTACCTGTTAAAGAAACAGTTAGTTAGTTAGTTGGGTTATCCTCATTGCACTCTGGACATGTCCATAGGTGCTCAGATCCTCCCCTCAGTATGAACCCCAACGTCCAATGGCTAATAGTACCAGTTCTATGTTGATTAACAAGTCTTCTGGCGTGTCTGGTGTGCGTCTCGTTTTTTGCTGTGCCGATCTTAATTTCCAAGTCTGCCATTCTGGCGAGTGATGTGGATTCACTGCCACCAAAGTCCTCTATCCTTCCCATTTCTCGGAGGGCATTGATAATATCAGCATGATCCATAGGCTGACCGTCGGTAGTGATAGCGGATCCAGCCAACCTGTTAGCTCTTTCATTTCCATCGACGCCTGCGTGTCCCGGAACAAAAATAAAGGTGACTCCACGCACAGTGGACTTCTGTAATGATTCAAGCCATTGTCTTCGCACTGAACCTGCTTGAACCCTCCGGATCATACTCATTGAATCACTAAGTATACATACGCGGGTGTATTTTTGTGTTTCAAGCCAGGCAAACGCTTGCGTCACTGCCATCACCTCCATCGTCATGCTGCTGGTTGTCATGGAGAAGGCGCCGTTGGCTTCTTTGACTGTTCTGCCCGCTGAGCATGCTGTAAATGCCCATGCGCTTCTTCTTTGGCGTATAACGGATCCGTCTGTATAGATTAGTGCATCTGCTTCGTCTGAATTTTCACCGATGAGAGCGTTGACCTCTGCATTAACAGCAACAGGATTCTCTTCTCTACATCGCCTGTTGAGTGTGACAATACAGGAAAATGAACAAATAAACGCCTGAGGCACAGGTATCCATTCTGCACCAGGTATGATGTCGGTTAGGCTGCATATTTGCCTAATAACATCTTCTGCCCGACCTAGCCACGATTTCCCCCTCTTCAGTCTGTCGCCCTTTTCACTAAAAAGCGCTTGATGCAGTGGGTGTTTCTTATCAGCACATATTTTGAGATATGCCCAATCCTGATCCTTTGGTTCATTGTTGGAAAGTCAAGTAGATACCTCATTGCTCCACAGGATGTGTCTCTTGTACATCCCAAAATAATGCGCATGGCTTCATTTTGCACCTTTTCGAGTCGTTCAATCTGGGTAGCACTGACAGTGAGGATGGCCAGAGCGTATTCAATGGGGGAAAGGACCAGACCGTAGAATAGAAGTATTAGTAGTCTTTGCTCAATATTGGAAGCAGCCATAATCCTCATTGCAGATAGACCTTTGCGTGCTTTTGTTATCACATGGTCAACGTGTTCCCTGAATGACAAGCTGCGATCGAACCTCACCCCGAGAAACGTCATAACGTTGGTTCTGATCAATACATTATCACGCATTTTCACTTCTGGTAAGTCCGACTTGACAATGTGATTGTTCAAAGAGAACCATGACACTGATGCCTTCGAATGATTGACATAGGCATTGGAACCATCACACCAGGCGGCAATTCGATCGAGTTCTTTGTGCATAGTGCTGGCGATCTCCTGTCTATCACGCCCTCGTGGATAAATCAAAATGTCATCAGCAAATGACAAAGTCCTTCCCTTTCCATTCAACTGCTGCTCAGTGATCATCACCGTATAAACGTTGAATAAGACTGGTGATAGCGGTGATCCCTGTGGCAAGCCTGGACATATCGTTTGCGGTTCTGAGGACCAGCTACCACATCTTAGTACAATCTTTCTCTGGAACAGGACCGCAGCAATGCAGCGGATCAGAATAGGATTAACTTCTAGTTTAAGCAGTAATTGCATTAAATAATCATATGGTACTTTATTGTAGGCATCTTCTAAGTCCAACACTGCCGCACATGTCTCTTCTTTAATCTGAAATCCCTCGTACACATCGTAGGCGAAAACTGCAGCATTGAACCATATCTCTTTATTTAACCTGTACCCTCCAAGTGTTGGTGGGAACTTATCATGTAGTTCCAAGTAGGTGGTCAATCTTTGTGCGACAGTGTTTCTATTCACCAAATCCAGTTGCATATATTAGTTTACCTGTAATTGTCAGGTAACTTATTCTGTTTGAATAGAAAGAGCTTGGAAACAGAGAAGTACATATGCCTAAGTGGTGCCACAAATAATTGATATATGTCATGATCAAGCAAGGGAAAGGAGCCCAGATCTTCTGAAAGACTTCATTTGCTTGACTCTGGGCACATCAATGGTGGTAACTGTGCCTTCTGTTTTCTATGACGCTGAATAGGTGATTACTAAAATTGGTGGAAGCTGTGACAATTAAACTGTACAAACCTTGATTGTTCAGACAAAAAAAAAGCTTGTGTTATTTGTTAATATTCTTTGGTAATCAGCTATCTGAACTTCTATTGGTGAGAGGAACAGTGTAACTAAAGAAAACAATGGGATTTCATGGCAGAGGATTGAGTGTTTATGGTTTATTACATGTCGGTGTCGTCTGTATTGTATTGCATCTGATCAGATACAGCACAATATGTCAGGCAGTAAATTATGCCATCTATTGTTTGTGTTTGCAGTATTTAACTCAGTCTTTGTTGTGATGACATGTCACAGGTGGACTGTCATCTTTCACCCCAATGAGAAGGAGCAAGATGAGACCAGAGTGGCAATAGCCAATGACACCAACAGCGCAAACACTGCAGAGGACCCCACCAGCATCTTCGTGATGAATAACTACTTCGGCATCGGCATTGACGCCGAGCTGTGTCTGGACTTCCACATGGCCAGAGAGGAGAAACCGGATAAGTTCAATAGCAGGTCAGAGTTTATATCTTCACTTCATTGCCTTCACTGTTGGCAGCCAATGTGTACCAGGTCAGAGTTTATATCTTCACTTTAGTGCCTTCACTGTTGACAGGCAGCATGTACCAGGTTAGAGTTGATGTCTGATACTGTCTTATGTTACTCACTGTTGACAAGCAGCATGTACCAGGTCAGAGTTGATGTCTGATACTGTCTTATGTCCCTCATTGTTGACAGGCAGCATGTACCAGGTTAGAGTTGATGTCTGATACTGTCTTGTATCGCTCACTGTTGACAGGCAGCGTGTACCAGGTCAGAGTTGATGTCTGATACTGTCTTGTATCGCTCACTGTTGACAGGCAGAATGTAGCAGGCTAGAGTTTTGTAAGATATGTCTGCATGCTGTCCTGTCTTCTGTTCCTCACTGTAAACTAATAAGTTATCAGAACAGTATGAAACCTATGAGGTTGCTGATTACTGATTTAATTTAGCATGGTGATTTCGATCACAGACATAGGGAAAGTCAAGGCTATTATGCACTGTGTGAGTAGAAACTGCTACCTCACTCTGTGCTGGCTTTACAGACCCTTGTGCAAGATTTCTGCCACATGTCAATGTTGTGCACTGAAATGATGGAATGATGACCTGTCAGCCTAAACAGAGAGATGGTTGGGTATCTCAGAGTTTGTAGCCCGCAGAGATGTAGTGCGATGCTGTTGATCTGTTTAAAGATGAAACCTTTGAGCCTTAAACCAGTCAGCACAGCAACAGATGCTGTGGTTTGGACAACCAAACCTCCCATGATGATTGATAAGGTGCTAGACTCTTCGCCTCTTCCACACAGTAGCTGTGGCGCTGGGCATTTCAGAGAACCCCCCCCCCCCCCTCCCCGCTGACAAGTCAGCATTTGGTCACTTAGTGTTGAGTCAGTCAGTGCTGTATCAGTCAATGCTGAGTCAGGTAGGAGTCAGTCACTGTTGAGTCAGTCAGTTTTAAGTCAGTAAGAGTGGAATCAGTAAGTCATGGGTCATTTAGTGCTGAGTCAGTCAAGAGTTGAGGCACTGTTTTCAGTCAGTCATTGTTGAGTCAGTACTGAGTCAGTCAGTGGACACTGTTTGCTTCAGGTTACACAACAAAGGAGTTTACCTGAAGATGGGCTTACGTAAGATGGTCAACCGAAGAACCTGCAAGGATCTCTACAAGAATGTCAAAGTAGAGGTGGATGGCAAACTCATCGAGCTACCACCTGTGGAAGGCATCATTATTCTCAATATACTCAGGTGGGTATCTATCTTTATGTGAATGTAATACTTCATCTCTGCTACTTCTTCAATGTAAGGCTTGACATATTTTTTATAGACCAATCGACACTAGGTGGCTGATGTACTGGACTTTAGGCCTGGTCCACTTGGGAGCCAAGGTGATACAACATTTTTTTTTAGCTCCATAATGACCAGAAGCCATGATTTTACGATCGGCAGGTGATCGTCCAGCTACTACGCCATGGCAACTACTGGTAAATGTTTTGTGTGTGTGTGTGTGGTGCTAAATGTCTGCCAACTTCTGTGGGGCATATTGCAACAGCTGCTGTCTGGTCATCAGTTTGTACTCCAGTCTGTAGCTAGATACTGTAGAATGTTGTATCTGTTAAGGATGAGAATGTGTGTGGGTTGGGTAGGTGGGTGGGTATGTGTTGACTGTTAGGGGTGTATATGTGAGTTTACTTATGTGCTAACTGTCCAATGATGTGCTAACTGCCCACTTATGTACAGACTGTGCACCCATGTGCTGACTGTGCACTGTTGTATTGACTGTGCACCCCTGTACTGACTGTGCACTCCTGTATTGACTGTGCATCACTGTATTAACTGTGCATCTCTGTGCTGACTGCAACCCTGTGCTGACTGTGCACCCCTGCACTGACTGCACCTCTGCACTGACTGTTCACCCATGTACTGACTGTGTACCCATGTACTGACTGTGTACCTGTGTACTGAATATGCACCCATGTACTGAGTGTGCACCCTTATACTGATGTACACCCATGTACTGACTGTCTACTGATGACCTGCTCAGTTGTGTGCTAACTGTCTAGTCGTATACTCACTGTGGATCCATGTTCCATCTATTAGCTGGGGCTCAGGTGCCAACCCATGGGGTCCAGAGAGAGAGGATCAGTTCACCAAGCCGACCCACTATGATGGCAACCTGGAAATTGTTGGTGTTACCGGGGTTGTTCACATGGGTCAGATACAAAGTGGCCTCCGCAATGGGATCCGAATTGCACAAGGAGGACATGTGAGTAATGATGGTTTCTATATGCTGGTAGTAACTAGAGCATGTCCTTTTATATGTCTTACATATGACTTACATATGTCCTTGAAACCTTGTGGCTGATCGCATCTTGTCTGTTCTGTTTCATCCATTTATTTCATCAGTGTTAATATAATTAATGCATCCACATTGTCTCATCGATACTAACACATACCATCAGATCCGTACTGTCTCACACATACCAACCTATGCTTACTGTCTCGCACATACTATCTGATCCCTACTGTCTCGCACATACCATCACAGATATGCATTATCACCACTGCTGTCTGATGCACATTGCTAACTGTGTTGTAACACTCATGATATCTTATCCATATTTTCTCATCCATATTGTCACATCCAAATTTTCTCCCATCCATATTTTCTTATCTTTTTTTTTTTCCCATCCATGTTCTGTCAGTGTTGTGTCATCCATATTTTCTTACTTGTCTTTTCTCATCCATGATGGCTTGCTCATAGTGCTTGACTGTGCTGTCTCATCCATGTTATCTTACAAATACACGGTTTGGTTATATCTGCGTGGGTCTGTACTCTGACGGGTGCTGTCTCATCCATGTTATCTTACAAATACATGGTTTGGTTATATCTTCGTGGGTCTGTACTCTGACGGGTGCTGTGAGGTACAATAACAGCTAGTTGTGTTTGCCTCAGAACATGCATTGTTCCACATGAGTGAATCCTCCCTGTCTGTTGCACTTTCCTCTATGGCTTTTCTACTGCTGTATGCTTTATTGCAGACACATTTAGTATAGCAGTTACACAGGTGTAGGCAATTAAGTGTAGCAGTCACACAGCTGTAGGCGGTCAGTGTAACAGTTACACAACTGTAGACATAGTCAATGTAGCAGTCACATAGCTGTAAACACAGTCAATGTAGCAGTTAAACAGCTGTAGGCAAGTCAGTGTAGCAGTCACACGCACATAAACAGTCAGTGTAGCAGTCACACAGCTGTAAACACAGTCAATGTAGCAGTCATACAGCTGAAGAGACACAGTAAATGTAGCAGTCGCACAGCTGGAGGCAATTCAGTGTAGCAGACACACAGCTGTAGGCAAGTCAGTGTAGCAGTGACATAGCTGTAGACAGTAAATGTAGCAGTAACACAGCTGTAGACAGTCAGTGTAGCAGTAACAATGCTGTAAACATGCAGTGTAGCAGTCACACAAGCTGTAGACAGTCAGTGTAGCAGTCACACAAGCTGTAGAAAGTCAGTGTAGCAGTCACACAAGCTGTAGACAGTGTGTAGCAGTCACACAGCTGTAGACACAGTCACTGTAGCAGTAACACAGCTGTAGATAATCAATGTAGCTGTCATACAGCTGTTGACATTTAGCAGTCACTTGTCTGTAGACAAAATGTAGCATTCACACAGCTGTAGACACAACTAGTATAGCAGTCACACAGCTGTAGACACAACTAGTATAGCAGTCACACAGCTGTAGACACTATTGCCATGCTAGTTTAACAGCCTGGGACACAATATATTGCCATAAGTGCTGATATGTTTTAATTATGAAATGTGCTTGTTGTTAGGTGAGGGATAGCACACTCACATATGTCACTGATGTGTGTGGGGTAGCACACACTTACATATGTCACTGATGTGTGTGGGGTAGCACACACTTACATATGTCACTGATGTGTGTGGGGTAGCACACACTTACATATGTCACTGATATGTGTGAGGTGGCGCACTTACAAATGTCACTGATATGTGTAAGATGGCACACTTACATATGTCACTGATATGTGTGAGGTGGCACACTTACATATTTCTCTGATTTGTTTAGGGTATCACCCACATACATATGTCACTGATATTTTGCGGTCGAACACACCCACATATATCGCTGATGTATTTGAGGTATTACACTTACATATTTCACTGATATGTGTGTGGTAGCACACACATATATCACCTGTATGTGTAGTTTAGCACACTTAGATATGTCACTGATATGGGTAAGATAACACACTTACATGTATCACTGATTTGTGACAAGTAGCACACACTATATTTGTCACTGATATGTCTCAGGTAACACACACTTACATGTGTCACTGATATGTGTGAGGTAGCACACTTACATATATCACTTATACTTGAGTTAGAAGAAGAACGGAGCACTAATGGGTTACTACCCTTGTGCCATGATGTTGATATGTTGTTAAAACCTCAAATTACACTGATATTTATGAGATAGCACACACTTACATATGTCACTGATATGTGTGAGGTAGCACACTTATCTATGTCACTGATATGTTTGGGATAGCACACTTACATATGTCACTGAAATGTGTGGGGTAGCACACACTTACATATGTCACTGAAATGTGTGAGGTAGCCTACACTTACATGTGTCACTGATATGTGTGAGGTAGCCCACACCTACATGTGTCACTGATATGTGTGAGGTAGCACACATTTACATGTGTCACTGATATGTGTGAGGTAGCACACACTTACATGTGTCACTGATATGTGTGAGGTAGCACACACCTACATGTGTCACTGATATGTGTGAGGTAGCACACACTTACATGTGTCACTGATATGTGTGAGGTAGCCCACACCACCACATGTTGTCAACTGATACTGTGTGAGGTAGCCACACAACATGTGTCACTGATATGTGTGAGGTAGCACACACCTACATGTGTCACTGATATGTGTGAGGTAGCACACACCTACATGTGTCACTGATATGTGTGAGGTAGCCACACCAACATGTGTCACTGATATGTGTGAGGTAGCACACACCTACATATGTCACTTATATGTGTGAGGTAGCACACACCAACACGTGTCACTGATATGTGTGAGGTAGCCCACACCTACATGTGTCACTGATATGTGTGAGGTAGCCCACACCTACATGTGTCACTGATATGTGTGAGGTAGCACACACTTACATGTGTCACTGATATGTCTGAGGTAGCCCACACTTACATGTGTCACTGATATGTGTAGGGTAGCACACACCAACATGTGTCACTGATATGTGTGAGGTAGCACACACTTACATGTGTCACTGATATGTCCTGAGGATAGCCCACACCTGCATGTGTCACTGATATGTGTAGGTAGTAGCACACACCAACATGTGCCACTGATATGTGAAGTAAGTATCACACACTTACATGTGTCACTGATATGTGTGAGGTTAGCACACACTTACATGTTTCACTGATATGTGTGACGGTAGCCACACCTGCATGTGTCATGATATTGTGGTGAGTAGCACACACCTACATATGTCACTGATATGTGTGAGGTAGCCCACACCAACATGTGTCACTGATATGTGTGAGGTAGCACACACCTACATGTGTCACTGATATGTGTGAGGTAGCACACACCTACATGTGTCACTGATATGTCTGAGGTAGCACACACCAACACGTGTCACTGATATGTGTGAGGTAGCCCACACCTACATCTGTCACTGATGTGTGTGAGGTAGCCCAGTCCTACATGTGCCACTGATATGTGTGAGGTAGCACACACCTACATGTGCCACTGATATGTGTGAGGTAGCCCACACTTACATGTGTCACTGATTTGTCTGAGGTAGCACATACTTACACGTGTCACTGATATGTGTGAGGTAGCCCACACTTACATGTGTCACTGATATGTGTGAGGTAGCACACACCTACATGTGTCACTGATATGTCTGAGGTAGCACACACCAGCATGTGTCACTGAAATGTGTGAGGTAGCCCACACCTACATGTGTCACTGATATGTGTGAGGTAGCACACACCAACATGTGTCACTGAAATGTGTGAGGTAGCCCACACCTACATGTGTCACTGATATGTGTGAGGTAGCACACACCAACATGTGTCACTGATATGTGTGAGGTAGCACACACCTACATGTGTCACTGATATGTGTGAGGTAGCACACACCTACATGTGTCACTGATATGTGTGAGGTAGCACACACCTACATGTGTCACTGATATGTGTGAGGTAGCACACACCTACATGTGTCACTGATATGTGTGAGGTAGCACACACCTACATGTGTCACTGATATGTGTGAGGTAGGCCACACCTAAACGTGTCACTTATATGTGTGAGGTAGCCCACACCTACATGTGTCACTGATATGTGTGAGGTAGCACACACCTACATATGTCACTGATATGTGTGAGGTAGCCCACACCTACATGTGTCACTGATATGTGTGAGGTAGCCTACACTTACATGTGTCACTGATATGTGTGAGGTAGCACACACCTACATGTGTCACTGATATGTGTGAGGTAGCCCACACCTACATGTGTCACTGATATGTGTGAGGTAGCACACACTTACATGTGTCACTGATATGTGTGAGGTAGCACAAATCTACATGTGTCACTGATATGTGTGAGGTAGCACACACTTACATGTGTCACTGATATGTGTGAGGTAGCACAAATCTACATGTGTCACGATATGTGTGAGGTAGCACACACCTACATATGTCACTGATATGTGTGAGGTAGCACACACTTACATGTGTCACTGTTATGTGTGAGGTAGCACACACTTACATGTGTCACTGATATGTGTGAGGTAGCACAAATCTACATGTGTCACTGAGCTTTGAAATAGCTTGTATGCCTGTCACATGTCTGCTCATGTATCCATAGCTACGTATTACATTGCTCTGTGATATGCCAGTCCAAGTGGATGGGGAGCCCTGGATTCAGCCTGCAGGCCAGGTCATTGTGCTTAGGTCTGCACTCAAGGTCAGTGTTGCTTGCATCACGTATATCAGCCATCTGAGCTTCTGCTTGCATCACATCTATCAGCCATCTGAGCTTCTGCTTCCATCACGTCTATCAGCCATCTGAGCTTCTGCTTACATCACGTCTATCAGCCATCTGAGCTTCTGCTT